CATAATTAGAGGTACTAATTAACCTAACCCTCTGGTCTTACGGCAAATGGGATTTCTTTCCTTCCCACAGTTCCCGGCAGGCACAGAGCAAGTCCTTACTGGGCAGGGGCAGCTCCCAGAAGCTGGTGAGACTGAGCTCTTGCAGCGCTGGCGTCATCGTGTGCTGTGCACGGGGTCCTTGCTCCCCAAGCACCGGCACGGAGCTGGGTCTGTTGGTGATGCGTGCTTATGCCATGCAGGCTCCAACAGAAGGTTCAAAACCTAAAGGGGCTTCTTGGAGAGGGAAATATGTCTGGACCGGCCTGGCAAGGCTGGAGGAGCTGCTGCCTGGTCTGGTTGTGTTGAGGCAGGATGGTGGGTGCTCAGGTGGTCTGTGCGCTTTGGGGGGTTTAACTGTAGGACAGTCCTTGGGCCACAAAGTCAAGATTGCCTGAGCAAGGGTTTAGGTCAGATTTTTGATGCAGCCTGTCCTAGTGGTGGAATTTTCATGCTGATGAAATGACTCGTAACAAAGACTGAAAGCTTAACGCTGGTCCTGCGCCTGGGCAGAGCAAGGCTTGAAGACCCGATTCACATCTCAGGCAGAGTTGTGAGCTCAGGGCTGCAGCTCTACCCACCCCCTGAGCAGAACTGCCCGGCAGCACATCTTGCTTGGGATCTTCTGCCTGGACCAGGCTTTGGTTTGATAACCATCCTTGCAGGTAGTAGGTGCGATGCAGAGTGGCCGAGGAGCGGGTGCGGAGCAGAGCTGCTGGGTTGTGCATCCTGGGTGAATATTTGAGCTGCGTGGCCGAGCTGCCCGAGTGCTCTGCGGGGGCTGACAGCTCTGCCCACTGCTCCTGCCTGCTGCCGGTCTACCCTCTGCTCGTGAGCTTCCCACCACGCTGTCCTGCATTGCTGCCCCAAGGTGTGTGTGACTCCTGTTCTACAGCCTGCGTGTGCACACCCGTGTGTGCCTGTTGGAGGGACACAGCCGGAGGACCAGCAGCACGGGGAGGGCAGCAGGGGTGGTGTCCTGGGTGGGGAGGGTGGGCTGCCCTGGGCCTGCTCCTGAGGAGGTCCCTTGTGCATCTGCAGGGTGCTGGCCTTGCCTGTGTGTGCACATTGGGGCAGCTGACCCCTGTTTCCACCCTGAAGATGATCGCTGTCGCTCCCCAGCAGAACCTCTTCTGCTGTTTTCTGTGGATCTGTTGGAGCTGCTGGAGTGGCTGTGGCAGAGGACAGGAGGGGTTTGTAAGCTGGGTAACCTCTGCCCCGGGGGGGGGGGGGCCAACTGTGTTACTCTGCTCCTGCAGCGGGGGTTTATGTGTGGGGATGGACCCCAGAGAGCTGCTGAGCTGCGATGAGGAACAGCTGGCTCTGGTGCATGGGTTGATCAGGGAACTCAGCACTGTGGCTGCGAGGGTGCCCAGAGTCTCCCTCTGCCTTGCGCCGTCACCCTCTTCTCCTTTCACAAATCTCTGCATCGCTGCTCCATTTTTCCTCCTCCAGGGCTGGCTTTGAAAACATTCCAGAGGAGCGGAGCCAAGTTCTCCTAATAGCTCTTTCAAAACTTGCTCTTGTGTTTGCCGGGAGCAATTGGCTGCTTTGTTGTAAGAACAGTTTTTCATCAGTCTGCTGACGGTCGTGTGGAAGCCGGGGCAGCAAAGCTCCTGGTGTCAGTGCAGCCATGCAGTGCTGTTTGTTGGAAAGCCGGGCCTCCTGTGAAGTGTTGTTGATGGCATCTGTCATGATTCTGTGATGCTCCCAATGGTGATAACTCTGTTAATGTAACCTATGCAACATTACTGCTAGCTGAGCTTCATCTTCTCGTGGCAGTGCAGGGGACGAGGAGTGCCATGGCCCTTTCAAGGGCCTCTCCGGTGATTCCCCCTGCATGCATTGCCCCGGGAGTCACCCTGCTTGTCGAGGGGATGCAGGCGAGGGGTGTTCTCAGGTGCATCCCAGAAACAAGAAAGGAGATGGAAGGCGGCACGGGATTGCTTCCAGGGCAGCAGCCCTGCTTTGAAGAAGGCAGTTAGAGTGTGCAGAGCTGTCCTGAGCAGCCAGGGACACCACACAGCTCGGGCCTGGCTCTCGTGCTCTGCCCTTGCAGGGGAGCTAAAGAAAGATGAACTTTACCTCTCAAGCTACTTTTAGCAGCTTTGCTCTGAGCTCTGGATGGTGTTTACCCCTGGGCATGCATCACGCCATGCCTGGCCCTGGCTGCATCGGTTGCTCCTTGGCTCTGTTCCAGAGATGGGAGGAAAGGCTAACCGCAGAGAGGGCAAGCCCAGCGGAATCGGAAAGGTTCAACCCTCAGATCTTTAAACCCTGTCAAGGGAGGCTTCCCGGTGGTGGGGCTGGCTGGGGAGAGGCTCCTGTGCGGGGTTTTGGGGCTGGTGAGATCAGAGCTTCCCTAATGCTGGTAGCTTTGACAGTAAGGAGCAACACAGGGACCCTTTCGCTCCGGGATGGTTGGTGCTTCAGGCTGCCTGGCTGCTTTCTGTCAATGCTGGGAGGAGCTGGAGCTTGGTGCTGCACCAAAGGAGGCAATGTCTCCTCTCAACCCTTCTGGAGGGAGGTTTTTGACTGCTTCCTGGCTGCTTCCTGCTCCCAGCCCATCCTGCCTTCCCGCATCCTCCCCTGACTTGATGATGGACCAGGCAGCCTCCGTCACAGGGCTCCCTCCCCAGGGCTGTGTGCCCTCCTGTTGCCCCCTGCAGCACTGTTGGCCTGAGACCACGTTCTAGCAAAGCATGTCTTGAGGCTCTTCCAGGCCTGCTGCCTTTGTGGCAACATGGGAGGGTTTGCTAGGTCAGGCTCTGGTTGAGCTGGGGGCTGTAAAAACTCAGCTTCTGCTATGAGATTCCTCGAGGTGAGAACTGGATGCAGCAGAGCCCCTGGGGACAGCGAGCAGAGACCATGTCCTGCCCTGGGCTGGCTGCAGGCACAGCTAACAGCAGGCTGCTGCTCCGCTCCCACGTGGGGCGAGCCTGCCGTGGGTCTTCTGTATTTGGGCGTGTGGTCTGCAGCGGCTTCCTTTGCTTCCTTGGCCGCTCGCTTTGCGAAGAGATGCCTGTGGTGGGAAGAGGCAGAGCAGCTTGTGTTTCGCTGCGTGCTAGTTCTGTTTTTCAGGGATCAGTACGATGGCGCGCGGTGCTGGGGCCCTGGTGGGGTGACGGCTTCCTGCGGCTGCGGAGCATGCGCTGCGGCGGGGAGGATCTCGCGCTTGAGCAGGAGCCCAGGCTGCCGCGGTGGCTTGTCCTGCAGCTATTTGTGGCAGTGAGAAGTGGCTGATTCCTGTCCAAATGCCGCTGCTGTGCAGCAGCCTGGAGGCTTTGGCCTTCGGCCTGTTGGTGCCCTGCTGGCGCTCCAGTACTGCCCTGAAATACTTGGGTTGTGGCTTTCTTGTGGAAGATCTGCTTGGATTGAGGGTCCGGTGAAGTGGCAGCTCGTTCAGCTGCTGCAGCCTCATAGGGGAAAGTCCGTCCATGAGCTGCTCCGCACCGGGCACTGTGGAGGCTGCCGGGGAAGCCGGCTCCCATGCTATGGCGATGCTGCAGCAGCCGCCCAGCAACACCCGTCCTCAGCTCCCGGCTCAGGGCTGGGGACACTGCTCTGGCAGGAGATGGGCTGGGGCAGCGGCTGCCGTTTCTGGACAGGCTGGTGAAACACACCCCCGCGCACAGGGGTGCCGTCACGGTGGTGCAATAGGAAATGAGGTGGCTGAGCTCACCAGCAGGCAGGGGACTCTGGTGGCTTGTAGGTTTTCAGTTGTTGCCTGGCCCATGTATTTGCTGGTTTTTTTCCCCCCCCAGAAAAAGCACCACACGGTTCACGCTGAAGTTGTAGCAGCGTCCAGTACCAAGCTAAAAGGGCCATGAATGCACCACAGCTGCCTGCCTGTGTGGAAGGAGCGCTCCCCATGTCGCTGCAGCCAGACAAATGGCCAGCAAAAAGCCGAATCCACAGCAAAACGGGGGCTTTGATGTGATGCCCAGTAAGCAGCCCTGAACTGCGGCTAACGGCCCAGCCTTTCTTGGCCTACAGCTGCAGAAAGCAAAAGCTCTGGGGTTGCAGTGGCCGTGTCACATCAAGCCAGGTCTTGCTCTGAGACTGAAGGAGCATCTGTTGTTACAGGGTCATGTGTCTCTCTCCTTCTCCTCCCTCTCACTTATTGCTCCATTGAAAACAGGCTTGGTTCACGTGGTCTTCTCTGAGGATTGCACCAGAGGGTTGTTGTTCAAGGTTAATGTCCTGTGGATGTTGCTCCTGTCTCTGGGGCCATTTGTTGTAGTGAAGTTCTCAAAACCTCTTTAACTCCAAGTTAGGAGCCCGTGTCTGTCTTCTCCCTGTGTCTCAGTCCACAACAGATTGTTCCCCCTTTTTCTCTTCTTACAAAAAGCACCCAGAAAAATGGGGAAAGTGTCACGTGCAGCAAAGATCAGAAGAGCATGACGTACAGTGATGCTGAAAGCTTCAGGTGGCAGTGATGTGATTCATGGGTCCATCTTGGAGAAGCCTCTAGTGAAACCCAGCTCTCCGTGCTGTGCAGCCCCTCCTGGATGAGCGGGGACTTGGGGCATGGGAGCTGTGGGTGGGCAGCAGCAGACGGTGGCAGGGTGCCCATGGTCGTCTCTTGTGCTGCTGGAAATCTGCACAAGCACCCAGCTCTGTGCTCCAGGCAAGGTTGAAAACTCCTGCCTGCTGCTGTTGTGTGCCCAGGGAAGTCTTACTTGCCATTAAGGCTTCGGAAATCTCTGTCCTGCCTAACGAAAGCCTGCCTGGCTCTTGCATGGAGCAGCTGCACTTGCTGTGGGCCTGGATCTGGTCATTGTGTCTTTGCCTGCTTCCAGCCCATCCTGGGGCCCCGGGCAGAGCAGCCTGGTTTGCTGAAGGGGAATAAATCCCATCTTGAGGGGTGGCATGGCCTTCCTCCCATCTGCCTCCTTGCTGAGCAAAGCTCTGCTTTCTCGGTGCTGCTCTGTGCCTCCCAGCACCCCTCCTGCTGCTGGCCAGTTCCCAAACTTTCACGTCTCCTGGTTCATTTGCTGTGATTTCCTTCATGCCAGCTCTTCCGGACTGCCCCGTTGCTGTGGTTTGCTCCCACAGAAGCTGTGTTGGGCTCCTGTGCCGGTGCTGCTGCAGGATGGGATGCAGTGCCCTGACCTGAGCCCAGGGCCAGCCTGGGACTCATGGCTGGGGGCAGCCCCCTCACCCACGCCATGTTCCTGCAGCACCGGCCATGACGGCTGCTGGTGCGCTGGCTGCCCGGCCGTCCCCAAATCCCAGCTGGCACGTCCCTCGCTGCAGTGACCTTTGGGAAAAGCAAACAGCTTTCTGCAGGGAAGTGACTTTCTGCTGGTGTCGAGCAGAGCTCTGTGCCTTCGTTTCCTGAGCGCAGCTTGCCATCCCCTTGTGTATTGATGGAAATCAAACTAATACTAACAAGTTGCTAAGTCGAAAATTGCTCCTTCCTTGTTTCTGTTGTTTCCTGGCAGTCTCCGCCTTCTGCACTTACTGTAAGCTCTGCAGCTCCTTCCCTGCCTCCTGGAGCAGGGACAGGCATGCGTGCCTCTGGCCGGAGGGCGCCGGGAAGACATTGGCACCAAATTAAAGCCTTGTACCCGTCGCTGGTGACCTCCATACCTCAAACCCCTCTCTTCCCCCGTGCCAAGAAGGTAGGAAAGCTTTGGGAACTGGTGCCTCTTCGCTAGGAGAAAGCTTTGCCGAAGGCAGGTGCTTGGGAAGTGTGCTCTTGTGTGGGGAAGCTTGGTGCTCACCAGGCTGAAGCTGGACAGATGAAAGCTCAGCTCCTGAAGCCGAGCCCCAAGCTGCATTCCCTGTGCTCGGGGAGTTCCTGTGCAGCTCAGCGTGGGCCGGAGGGGTTGGTAGGCAGCTGCTAACACCATCAACGTAACTTTTAACACTGGTCTGACCCTGAGGTGTGAGGAGCGGCATGAAGCGAGGCTTCCTCCCTGCTTAGGTTTGTAAGAGTGGCTGCATCTGGCCCGACCTGCTTGGGGCTGCGCCCAGCCCTGCAGGATTGTGCCTTCCTGAGCCCTCCGGCTTTTGGGCTGAGAGATCCTCTGCAGGGGTGGGAGAGGGTGAGGCTCCGCTCGGCAGCCAGGGCCTGCCTGCTGTGCTCCTGTAATCTGGTGCAAATGGCCACCGACTGCCAGTGCCAGCAAGAGCTCTGCTCTTCTGATCTCAGATGTTTCAGATTAATTTTGTGACATGTGGTGAAGAGAGAATGAGTCAGAATCCAGGCTTTATTCAGCTTTGTGGCTGGAGTGAAACCTTTCTGCTGCCATTCTTCTCAGGAAGCTTGGCAGGGCAGGGGCAGGCCGGGCTGGGGCCAAAGCCACCTTCTGCACTTGCCTTCAGCTGGATTTTGAGTTGAGCTCTTGGGATGGAGCGGTGCTGCTGGGCCTTTGCTCTTTGGTGCTCTGGCTGCTTTGCTGCTCACCCTGCGGGCAGGTGAGGCTGCGCGGCCACGTCCTGTGCTGCTGGGGGCTCCGGGACTGAGGGCCAGGGCACGGATGTCGGTGGGTGTGAAAAGGGCTTTTTCCCTCACATCCAGGCTTATTCCTTCCCCGCCCTCCCTTAGGTGTGTGTGCCGTTATTCCTGCACTAGTGATGCAGTTTCGGTCTGTGGTTCTGCCTTCCCTTGACCCAGCCTGCCCATGGGTGATGGCAGCAGCGCCTGCCCTGCCAGCTGGAGCTGGTGGCCACTCTCGCCTTCCCCAGCCTGGAGGCACAAACCAGTGCCGGTCCCAGGGCTCCTTGAACTGGTCCCATGGCTGCTGGCTCAGGGCAGGTTTTGCTGAAGAGGAACCAGATCCTGGACGAGTGATCAGCTCCACATGGACTCCGGGACTGGGCTCGTCCCTCAGGGTGTGTTGGAGCTCTGCAGTGTCGTGGGTCCAGAGCTGTGCACCCAGCAGCTGCCCTGGCCCCATGCTGCCCTTGGAAGCCCTTGCCAGCGCCAGCCTTCCTGGAGCTGTGTGCCCCGGGCTCACCGTGTCCCATCTGTCTCCGGTTATTGGCCCCATCAGCCTTCCCCAAAGGGGAGTAGCGGTCATGGCTGGGTCCTGCCGAAGGGCTGGCAGGAGGGAGCCTGGAGGCTCCTGGGTGCCAGCTCTGAGCAGCAGGCATGCCTATCCCTCCAGGTCTCTGGAGCTGGCCAGGATGGCGCAGTGGAACCAGCTGCAGCAGCTCGACACGCGGTACCTGGAGCAGCTCCACCAGCTCTACAGCGACAGCTTTCCCATGGAGCTCCGGCAGTTCCTGGCCCCATGGATTGAGAGCCAGGACTGGTAAGGCCTTGCGAAACGCTGGCATGGGGACTTTGCTCGGGACACCCACCCTGGGCTGGCAGCAGGTACCGAGGCGGTCTGGAGGAGCTCTGTCGCTTTCCCTAGGCTCTGGACAGGGCAGGACTGGTCCTTCTCCCTGAGGCTTGTGGGGTGTGAAGGGGAGTGAGACTCTGTGCATGGTGTCAGACCCTGGACCAAGAGAAGGGGGAGCTCCAAAGCAGAGGTGTCCCCGTCCAGGGCTGACTTACACTGGCCTCTGTTGTAAATGAGATTGGCACAGAGCACTGATTCCTGGATCCTGTCCAGAAAGCACGTGGGACTGGTGAGGTCCTTGTGTGCACTGTCTACCTGGCTTAAGGCCAGACTCTAAGCCCGAGTCCAAAACCTCTCTGTTGCCCTGTCCTTGTGGGCACAGGCTGAAGGCTCAGTTTATTGCATGAAGCAAATCAGGCCTGCTCTGGCCCTTGCTCTGGTGCAGATTAGGAAGACTGTTGGGGTGTTTAACTGCACGGGGAATAGCGGGCATGAGCAGAGCTGCCTGCAGCGCTGCCTTTTGTGCTGCCTTGCTCCTTTCCCTGTGCGGGGCACCCAGGACTCTGCCCTCCCTCATGCAGGGCATACGCCGCCAGCAAGGAGTCGCACGCCACGCTGGTGTTCCACAACCTGCTGGGGGAGATTGACCAGCAGTACAGCCGCTTCCTGCAGGAGTCCAATGTCTTGTACCAGCACAACCTGCGGCGCATCAAGCAGTTCCTGCAGGTGAGGCGGGAAGTGCTGTTTTGGTCAGGGGGCTGCAGGAGGAGGCTGTGGAAGTCCAACGGCTTCCTTGGAACAGCTCATGACCCGCAGCCCTAAAGGATGCAGAGATCGTGAGAGTTACACTGTGCCTGCTAACCTTGGGGCTTTTGAACCTTTTACAGAGCAGATACTTGGAGAAGCCGATGGAAATAGCCCGCATTGTGGCTCGCTGCCTGTGGGAAGAGTCGCGGCTCCTCCAGACGGCTGCCACCGCAGCCCAGGTAAGTGGCTGGGGGGTCCTGGAGCCTCTCTCCTGCTGCCCACCCAGCAGCGCTGTGCAGGTACTTGGTGCTGTGAGAAGCTCCAGTCTCAAGCTTCCCGCTTGCTTCCTTCGGTAACGATAGCTGCTTTGTGCTGAGGGATGGTCCAGCTGCAGAGGCTGATAACTTCTGCTCGCCAGGCAGCAGCTGCTTCCCGCCAGGATGCAGCCTGGGTGTTCTTTGCCTGGGGTGGCTGTTAGCTTTGTGCATCCATCTCTCCTCTGGCCCCTTGCACGGGGTGTGTCCTGCACCGTGTGCCTTGCTGCGCAGCCCTGGAGCTAATGCTGCAAGCAAGCAGCTGGCCATGCTGGCTTTCGTTAGTGAGGGGGTGAAGACCCTTCCTGCAAAACCTCCTCGGGCTGTGAGGGGAGCATCCCTGGGTTGTGGCCCTGTTCTGATGACCTCCTTGTCTCCTCTGCAGCAAGGGGGACAGGCAACACACCCAACAGCGGCTGTAGTGACGGAAAAGCAGCAGATGCTGGAGCAGCATCTGCAGGATGTGAGGAAGAGGGTACAGGTATGTGTGCTGCCTAGGCACCTTCTCCTTTCCCCACTGTGGTGATTTAGTGCTTTGAATAAATCCACATCTCTTGCCTTGCAGGATCTGGAGCAGAAGATGAAAGTGGTGGAGAATCTCCAGGATGACTTTGATTTTAACTACAAGACTTTGAAAAGCCAAGGAGGTAATGGAAGCTCATTAGCTTCTGGCAAACGAAAGTGTGTTCCTGCAAGGAAACTTGCTGGAGGGCATGTTCCAGCCCTCCCCGTGCCTCCTCTCCAGGCAAGAAGGGTGGCTTAAGCTCAGGGCATTTGCATGGCAATTGGAGAAACCTTGTCTTTTATTTCTGCCACTGCCTCCAGGGGAGCTGAACCAGAGCTCTGCCTGTGAGCTGAGAAATGGCATGTGGAGGTGATAGCACTGCTGTGCATGCAGGAAAGCCAGCAAGGTGCTTAGAGGCTGTGTGAGATTGCTGCTTTCTAGGGTGCCTTCTCCTTTGTATTGGAAGTCTCTTGTTTGTGTGATGCTTGGGAGGGTAGGAGGAGTCCATGTGCGTGGCTGAACATTTCTTACCTCTCTGCCCAGACATGCAGGATCTGAATGGAAACAATCAGTCGGTGACCCGGCAGAAAATGCAGCAGCTGGAACAGATGCTCACGGCGCTGGACCAAATGCGAAGGGTATGTCATGCCACGGGCCCTCCAGATCCCCCCTGGGGTGCAGTGGTGCCCTTTTCTGGGGTGCAGTGTGGTGTTCCTTCATGGCCAGAACTGAGAGCAACGCTGGAAACGCAGCCCTGGGCAACTCCTTTCTTGTTTGTGAATGTGAAACTTGCAGATCTCGGAGCAGGTCAGAGGGTGTTGAAGGTTCTGCTTTCTTGTTTGACAGGGTATTGTGAGTGAGCTGGCTGGACTGCTGTCAGCCATGGAGTATGTGCAGAAGATGCTGGCAGATGAGGAACTGGCAGACTGGAAGAGACGGCAGCAGATCGCCTGCATTGGTGGCCCACCAAATATCTGCTTAGACCGGCTTGAGAACTGGTAGGAGCTGGCTGGGGGTTGCATCAGTCCCTAGAGTGGCAACTTTCAAACACCTGCAATGGAAATGAGTTCTTTGTCTCTGGAAACATCCTTGCAAAATGGCTTCTGATGCCTGCAAGTGTAAACATAATCCACTAGTCAGACTGATCCTCGATAGTGGGCACTAGTGCTGGAATGGTTAGCCCCAGGCCCAAGGCTTCTGTAAGAAGTTCCTGTTGTTCCTGGTGTGCAGAACTTGGATGCGTGCAGGTTCCTCTTGTAATGCATGGCCTAGAAAAATGCACTGAGCTGGGAGACATAGACGTGTTCTGTTCTCTGCTGGTTTGGTACGGAGAGCATCTTCTCTCGCACAAGTGAGGGAAGAGGAGGGCTCTGCAGGCTGGGACTGTGCAGGGTTCGGCAGCCAGAGCTAACACTGGTTCTTCCTGCTTCCCTAGGATAACCTCTCTTGCCGAATCACAGCTACAGACCCGGCAGCAGATCAAGAAGTTGGAAGAACTGCAGCAGAAAGTGTCCTACAAGGGTGACCCAATTGTCCAACACCGGCCCATGCTGGAGGAGCGGATTGTGGAGCTGTTTAGGAACCTGATGAAAAGGTGCTGAGGGCTGGGAGGGAGCTGGGGGCAGATCCCTAGTCGCAGGCAGTGGGTGGACGGGTGGGAAGTGAGTATTCTGGGTCAGGCCTGAGGTTTGACTGTGGTTCTTGTGCCTTTCCCCTGCAGTGCTTTCGTCGTGGAGAGGCAGCCCTGCATGCCCATGCACCCTGACCGGCCCTTGGTCATCAAAACCGGTGTGCAGTTCACCACCAAAGTCAGGTGGGTCGCTGGCCCCTGTGATCCCACCGTGCTACAGGCATGGGAAAGGAGCCATGGGGGGGGAAGCAAAGCAAGATCTCCCTCTGAAGGGGATGCTGGTGTGGATCCAGCCTCCAGTTTGTCTGGGGAGTGCTGGGAGGGAACGAATCCCAGCAGGCTGGCCCTGCTGGAGTACTGCCTGTGTGACTCAGTGCAGGGATGGCGGCTGCTGGCTGGGGCTCTGCCACGTTCCTGGAGGCAGACAGGGTTCTGGTAAATCCCGCTGCGGGGGCGGGCAGCAGGAAGCGTCAGTGCGTCCCTGGCCAGCTGCCTCTCAGCTGGCCTGTGTCCCCTGCCAGCCTCCGCAGAGAGGCTGGGCCGACACTGGGCTCTGCCTGGAGCTTGTTCACCATCTCCCAGCTGTGGCCCCATTGCCCCCTTGGCATGTGGCAGCATCTGGGTGTTTGTTCAGAGCAGATGCCTGACTGGTGTGGGCAGTCAGCAGCCAAAATGAGCCCTCCTTGAGGGGCTCAGGGGAGCATCAGCGCTGGGGATGGGTGTCAGGGCCAACATGTCACAGGGGTGCATGCAGATGGGCTCAGGGATGCCATGGGAGCTGGGTAATGCTGCGTCCCCATGGGCTTTGTGGTGTGAACCGTGGTGCTGCCTGCTGGGGGATGCACACAGCACTGCTGTCCATCCAGGTGTTCTGCAGTCTGTGCCAGATGCTGTGCTGAACTGGAGCTGTTTGTGTGTGCAGGATGCTCACACTCTGCCTCTGCTGACTATTTGCAGGTTGTTGGTCAAGTTTCCAGAGCTGAACTATCAGCTGAAAATTAAAGTCTGCATTGACAAGTGAGTTCTGTGCTCTGATCCTGGCAGCGTTGGGTGGGGTTACCAGAGTGAGACTTGTTCCTGCTGCTGTTGGGTCCATCCCTGCACCGAGGGCCAGTGGGATCCCCAGTAGAAGGGGAGGCTGCGGGGTGGCTCTGGGTCCCAAGGGTTCATTCCCATGTGGTGGGACAGCCTGGGAGGGTTGTGGGAGGCAAAGTTGTGATGCAGCCAGCCCCGCATACCGGCTTGTCTGCATCAGGGTGGGAGGGCAGCTGTGGCCATGACCGGGGGCCTCTCTCCCCTTTCCTAGGGACTCTGGGGATGTTGCAGCACTTCGGGGGTAAGTGCAGTGCTTTCGTTTTGTTGTTTGTGTGGGTTTTCTTTTTTTTTTTCTTTTTTTTTTCTTTTTTCCTTGCTTCTGCTTTTAATCCTGGCAGACATCCTACTGCACATTTGCTCGGAGATGGCCCTGTCTGCCATGCTCTGTCTTTCCTCTTTCAAGGTCCCGGAAGTTTAACATCCTGGGGACAAACACCAAGGTCATGAACATGGAGGAGTCGAACAACGGCAGCCTCTCAGCAGAGTTCAAGCACCTGGTAGGTACCATGAGCTCTTGGGCTGCTCCTGGTAAGGCTGTGTGCTGTTGCAGCATTGCTTCAGCCTGTTCCTTCTCTCCACAGACCCTGCGGGAGCAACGGTGCGGTAATGGCGGCAGAGCCAACTGCGATGTAAGTGCTGGAGGGGGCCTGGGTAGGAGAACCCTTTGCTGGCAGCTCTGTTCCCTGTTGAGCAGCCATGAGGGGAAGCGGGAGCCCTGCCCTGACAGGGAGTGTCTGCAGGCACCCTCTGCCAGACCAGCCCTCTCCGCCCTGACCTGAGCAGCAGCGTTGGGTCTGATGGGCGAGGGCAGGCATCTCCTGTGTGCTCATTGTGTCCTCTTCCACCCTAGGCCTCATTGATAGTCACTGAGGAGCTGCACCTCATCACCTTCGAGACAGAAGTGTATCACCAGGGGCTGAAGATCGACCTGGAGGTGAGCTGTGGGTTACTGCCTGCATTGCCATGAGCCTGGGTGCAAAGGAGCCCTGGGAGATGTCCCAGCCTGTGGTCACGTCCTGTCTTTGCAGACCCACTCGCTGCCTGTGGTGGTCATCTCCAACATCTGCCAGATGCCCAATGCCTGGGCGTCCATCCTGTGGTACAACATGCTGACCAACAACCCCAAGGTAGGGCCGGGTGCTGAGGGGACGCCTGGCAGAGCAGCAGTGCAGACTTTGGGACCAGACTGCTGCTGCAGGCAGGGAGAGGAACGCTGTGGCCTGGCAGCAGGGCTGGGGCAGGACCTGGCCCTGTTTCTCTCCCATATCTTGCTCAGAGCTGTGTTTTCCCTTGCGCAGAACGTGAACTTCTTCACCAAGCCCCCCATCGGGACCTGGGACCAGGTGGCAGAGGTGCTGAGCTGGCAGTTCTCCTCCACCACGAAGCGTGGCCTCAGCATTGAGCAGCTGACAACGCTGGCAGAAAAACTTCTAGGTAACCTGGTGTGGGTGTCCTGCCTGTCCCTGCTGTCCCTCAGGCTGCTCCCTGGATATGGTGTCTTTGGAAGAACAGCTCTATCTAAATGTTGATGCTCCTGTTCTTCTCTGCCAGGACCAGGTGTGAATTACTCTGGCTGCCAGATCACCTGGGCCAAGTTTTGCAAGGTATAACTCCCTCTCTTCCCCCAAGTGCCTTCCCTTGGCTGTTCCCTTCCTCCAAGTCATGCTCACAGCCTCTCTGCCCTCTCCCTCAGGAGAACATGGCTGGCAAAGGCTTTTCCTTCTGGGTCTGGCTGGACAACATCATTGACTTGGTGAAAAAGTACATCCTGGCGCTGTGGAACGAAGGGTGAGCCTCTGCCAGTGTCGGTTGGGCTGGGCCTTGGGAGGGGTCCCATGAGTCCTGTCCTGATGGAGTGGGGTGCCTTGTCCAGATGTAGGTGGGCTCTCCCGGGATGCTTTTTCTGTCCAGGCCCTGTTGGCTGGTTCAGAGTGAAAACCCTCCCTGGCACCTGGGAATCCCTAAAATGTCAGCGGCTCTGGCGATGGCCAGGCCAGGCCCTGCTGCTGCCTGATGCTGTGCAGAGAGCTGGCAGGGTTCACGTCCTGGAATAGCTGCCCTGGTATCCTGACCCACCCTTGCTCTTGCTTCCTGCTGCCCAGGTACATCATGGGGTTCATCAGCAAGGAGCGGGAGCGAGCCATCCTGAGCACTAAGCCTCCGGGAACCTTCCTGCTGCGGTTCAGTGAGAGCAGCAAGGAAGGTGGCATCACCTTCACGTGGGTGGAGAAGGACATCAGCGGTAAGTGGCTCTCCCCCTCCTGCCCTGGGTGCAGTGCCTTGCTCAGCTGTTGTTCCTGGCTCCTGAAGGGGCTTGGAACCCGCTGATAAGACACTTGTTCTTTGTCCTTGTCCTGACAAGCCCTCTGCCTAGGTTAACCCCTTAAGCCTGGGTGCCCTTTGCTGGTCTCTGCCTCCTGGTTGTCCCTGCCCATGTGCTGCCTCTATAGCACAGTCTTCCATGGCACTGAAACCACTTGGCAGGTCCCTGTCCTGCCCCATGGTCTGCTGGGTGCCTCGTGAGGCTGAGCCATGGCCCCAGGCTGATCTTGTCCCTGCTGATCCTGGGCTGTTTGAGGAAGGCCCTGCCTTTGCCTGAGGAACGCGAGTGCCTTGCCCTGTGTCAAAAGTCTCCTTGTACAGGGAAGACCCAGATCCAGTCTGTGGAGCCTTACACCAAGCAGCAGCTGAACAACATGTCGTTTGCGGAGATCATCATGGGCTACAAAATCATGGATGCCACCAACATCTTGGTGTCCCCCCTGGTGTACCTGTACCCAGACATCCCCAAGGAGGAGGCCTTTGGGAAGTACTGCCGCTCTGAGAGCCAGGAGCACTCCGAAGCTACTGACTCAGGTAGTCGTTGACTTTCTGCGCTCCAGTGCGGCTCCTGCATTGCGGGGAAGCTCCAGGGATGGCACTGGTGGAAGAGCTGTCACCAGCCAGGATCCTGTGCTGGTCCCCGGAGGGCGTAGCCCCAGTGTGGGACTAGCAGTGGGGTCCCCGTGGGGTGGGAGGGCTGCACAGGGGCTGGCGGGGTGGGTGCTGTCTGCAGGGCTGTGCTCTGGAGGGGGGGGAGAGCAGGGC